AGGATGAACTATGATAGTCTTGTGCAAGCGGGCGTTCAAACGCCCTATGTTAACTATCCCTACCACCCGCCTCAAGAGGGTCCAGTTCCACATTGGGACCCCTATGACCCTAACAACCCCTCCCCCAACACCTATGCTTATTGGGAAGGTCCTATCGACCCATCCCAACGTGTTGGTACCCCACCATACAACCCTTATCGGCCGGGTGGGTGTGACTACGCCTATGATCCGGCAAGTCCATCAACCCCGAATCCTTTTGATGGTGGTTGGGGTACACAAGGGTGGCCCTATGAGCACTTTAACCAACCTTTCCATCCATTCATGGATCGCCCGGGGTTTGATTTCATGAACCCTCCTAAGGAACGGGAGGATAGAAACCCCCAATGAGGGTTCTCTCCTTCCCTTTCCCCCCCCCCCCCGGACTTTCATGCCTATTCCTTTTGCTCGAGACGTGCAAAAGACTAGCGTGGGGGAGGATGTTCCTTTTGGTTGAAGTGTACATATGAGGGTAGTGTGGTAGGATGGTAGCTTGTGCATATGGAGAACCATCAAGGATAATGAATTTATTGTAGTTAGAGATGATTTTTGGTTGGTAATATTCTTATGATGATGATGTTATGACGCTTCATTTCAAAAAAAAAAAAAAAAAAAAAAAAAAAAAAAAAAAATTGAAGTTGTTTTTCCCTCTTCTCTCTTGATCCCATAATCCAAATCCCAAAATCCAAATTTTGTAGATAGCTTTTTGTCAATCATTTTCTTTTGTTTATAATTCTAGTCTTTTCCTTTTGTTCACTAACTTTTCTTTGTATAGTTGTAGTGTTTCTTTTCTTTTGGCTCACTTTCCTTGTAGCTTGAAAACGGAAGCACAAAATGATGGAATAAGGAGCAACTCAAGCTCCGGAAACCTTGGTGAGATCGCAATTTTTCCTTGTGTTCTATTTCAAGCAGCATTTGGTGAGATCTTTCCCTACTTTCCTTTATTTTTCTTTGTGTGCATAGTTAGTTTGGACTAGAATGGAGTTGATTGTTCGAGGTTGTTTGCATTTGATTCCACGGAATCTGGTGATCGTTGGTATTGATGCCGAACGATCTTTGTTTGTCGATTGTGAATTATATGTTTACTAGCCTCTTATCTCTCTTGTACTCCTTGCATTAAAAAAAATAAAAAAAAAAATTCGAAAAATGTGAAAAAATGAAAAAGATTTTCCTTTTTATTCATGGCAAATCACGAAAAGCTTAGTTGTTTCATTTTCATTTCGAGCATAATAATGTTGACTCGTGTGTTTGAATGCTTTGCTTCTTGAGTGTTATAAGTTTGCATGCTTCAGGATTGCCATTGGTTGACTCTGGGACATGTTCATGCTAAGGTAGTTGTTCTAGAACTCGTTAGGCCCATCGAACCCAAATTCACTTGTTTGTGGTAAGAAGGTGTTGCTCTCATTAGGGGATTTGAAGCCCTAGAGATGGTTTTTATAACCCGATGTGAGCTTTATTGTTCAAGCCTCCAACATTACTTGTATGAGCGGCGTAGGATCCTCACCAAGGCATGCTTAGATCTAGAACTTGGTGTCTGGTTCCCGAGATCGAGACCGAACTAACCTACGAATGACAAAGGCATTCTTCATTCGGTGACTATTTTTGTTTTCTAGTATTAGTTTTTTTTTATCTTTTGTATTTTTGGGTTGCATTTGCCCTTACCATGTTGAGTCTTCCCCTCCTTGATTATAGCACATTGCAAGCCCATGGCCCTTTTGTTTTACTTTCACCCTTAGAATCGTGAAGCTCAAGCCATGAGGGCTTATTGTAGTTTTGATTTGAAATTTGGAAGGGAATGGTTCTACTTGGAAAGTGAAGCAGTGTTTTTGTGAATATGTGTTCAAGAAAAGCAAATGTAAATCCTAGAAAAAGCCTTTGAAGCTAAAAAAAAAAAAAAAAAAAAAAAAAAAAAAAAAAAAAAAAAAAAAAACAGAGAGAATGTGACAAACGAAGAGTTGATGAATGAAGATGTAAGAGGAAAGCGAAAGCTCAAAAGTGTTTGGCATTATAGTTCAAGATTGTGGCAACGTAGTTTGAAAATTGGTTGATGATTGATTTTGAAAAAGAGGCTTGATCACCCTTTGCTTCACGGTTAGGCTAAGCACCAATTTCCAAATTCCTCCACACCCTTACCCCCTAGCCAACATTACAACCCTTTCAATGCCCTGTTGACCTAGGTTGGTTGAGTCACTAGTCGGTGGAGGGAGCTGGAACTCAAGCATATGGAGAAGGCATGACTTGGTGAGATGTCGGGTTCCTCTATTTTGCAGTGTTTTATCTTTGTTCCGGCTCCTTCGAGGAGTCACTTGATGCTATCTCCAAGGGCGGATTTGAATCTAGATGAGGGAACGCGGTAAGATTGTATGGAATGCGGGGGGGAGTGGTGCATGTTTGAGTTCTCTATGCTTAGCATAACTTATCCTTCAATCAACTTTCGGCATCCCCTTGCATGCTCACTTCTACTACTCAGAAAGTTTGACACTCATTCATGTTTGTTATCTCCAAAAGCTCGATTTGGCTATGATTTGTTTTGGATTTGTTGTTTCTCTTTCCCTTGTTTTTGGTTTGTCTTGAACACGATTTTGTAAGAGTTGTGGGGTATGCTCTCTGGAAACCCTCACGAGATCACAACTCGTCCTCATCGGCGACCTTGGGGTTTAAATGGCTTGTTGCTTTTGCTAAAAGCAATTTCGGTTTTTCTTTTGTTCCTTGCATGTTTGAATAACTAATTCTTTCTCCCTTGTTCATTTTCCTTTGCTTTGCTCGAGGGCGAGCAAAGGCTTAGCGTGGGGGAGTTTTATGAGTGACATTTATGTCCCTCTTAGGGGTAGTATTTAGGTCTTTTTCCTCTTATTTTTCTTAGGTTTTTCCACCTCATTTATCCTCTTATGGATTCTTTATGTGTTGATGAAAAGTAATGCTTATTTGCGCTTATTTTGATAATCTTTATGCATTATTTTATCATCTCCATGCTCTCGTGAACTTTGGTATCTTCTGCAGGTTCCATGACGGTCCTATGCACGGTGGGAGGCCCCTCGGCCAAGTATGGAAGCATGGACAAAGGCAAGAGGAGCAAAAGGGAAGGAGAGGAAGCAAGAAAAGGAAGTGCAAGAGGAGGTGTGGCCGAACCTCTGAAAGTTCCGGTCGAACCTAGGTGTGGTCAAACTTTTGAAAAGTTTGACCGAACCTCCAGGGTGCAGTGAAGGCAGTGTCAAGCCAGTTTTCAGCAATTTTGCAGAAGAGGTCGAACCTCAAAAGTTCGACCAAACAAGGATCAGGGAGGTTCGACCGAACCTACACAGGGTTCGATCGAACCTACCCTGAGTCCGACCGAACCTACCCAAAGTTCGGTCGGACCTTTTCCCGATCTCAGCCAATTTTGTACGGACTATTTAAGGTCCTTTTGAGATCGTTTTTGAAAAAAAAAAAGAAAAAAAGACAGTAGCCTAGTTTTCAGAAACCTCTCTTAGTTTGAAACATTCCTTAGGATTAATTTAGCTTAGTTTTCATCAAATCAAATCATTGTATTAGTGAAATTCAAGAATTATTCTCAAAGTTTGGCAATTTGTATTCAACATTTGAAGCTTCAATTAGTAATTTCTCCAACCTTCTTCCTTTTAATTTCAGATTTTATTTGGTATTTGCATGTTATTTAAATCTTCTTAGTTCTTGGTAATTTGTTATTGGATGATAGTTATTTCAATTGTTAACCACTTTTCCCCAATTATTGAAGTATTTAGAACCCTAATTCTTGATTGCATGTTGATAAACATGAGTCGTGAGTAGTCTTCTTGCTAGGGGTTGGGTGAAGCTCGACCTTTTGGGTTAACTATGCAAATGTGGGAGAAGCATTGATGTTTGTATTGCAATTAAATTGATTATATGAGATTGCTTGTTAGTTCCTCATGATAGGTTTAGCTACCCTTGACTAAGGAGTTTGATAGTATGATATGCCTAATTTGACATGGAAGTGTAAATTGAGTACGTCATTACTTATTGTAATTTGATTATGTATCATCTATTGCTAAACTAATGAGGAATCTAAGTTTAGTAGTGTGAGTTGTTTTCTAATTGCATGAGGTTGATTTTACATATAGTCCTTGCTATATCTTGTCTACTTTACTCCCCGTTTGCCTATTTGCCTTGGTTGAGTGGATCTCATTCCCTAGTATCTTTAATTCATTGATTTAGAACCATAGTTTGTTTGTCTTCTTGATGAACCCCAATTCACCAATTGACTTCGAGTTAGCTTAAGTGTAAAGACCTTTGGCAATCATATCCCGTTCCTTGTGGACCGAACTCTTACTTGTCATTATGCTTGGTTTGTAAGGTGTTTGTTAATAAATGTGTTTGATTGAGTGTGGAATGTACGACCGTTCTAACGCCCATCACTAGGTCTTTCACTCTCACTTATTATGTTGTGTATCTTTTAATAAGTTATTCGTAGATTATCAACATACTTTCGAGAGATCCGCAAATCAATTGAACATTGTATATATAAAATCATTAATATAAATCATAAGGCTGAAATACATCAATAAACATGTTTATCATATCATAGGTCATTAAAAATATATACAAGGATATAAAAGATCATGTCATGTCATGTGCACATAATACACTTTTAAATCATAACATGTCAAACATATCATATAGGCTTACATATGATGTAGTAACAGGCCATTTAAGATTACACAGGTGCATTCATGATTACCAGACATAATTGTCACACATACGGGACTAACATAATAGTTACATATACGGGACTAAACACAATTGCTAGACATAATGGTTACCTCATTAGATCATCTTTAATCATCTCACTTAACTTGTTCTCCAATAATCATCATTCGAACTCTCAACCTCCGTCATTAATACCTCATCGTCATGATTTATTCGATCATACCCAAAAATAATAAATACTCATTAATAATGGACTATTGGTTCATGAATTGCTTTCATTCATGAATTCTTCTTCTTCTAAAATTTGTTCGGCGGCCTTGAAACTTGACATGAACAAGGCCTATGATAGGGTAAATTGGGAATTTTTATGGGAAGTTTTGAGGCGTTTTGGGTTTCCTCCGTATTGGGTTCATGTTTTACAACAATGTGTCACAACTATGTCCTATCAAATTTTGGTCAATGGTACGCCTTCTCAGCCCTTCAGGCCTAAGTGTGGCCTACGTCAAGGTGATCCTTTATCTCTATATTTATTTGTTTTATGTATGGAGATTTCTTCCTTAATTTTGCGTCGGGATGAACAGCGTGGCTTGTTCCAGGGGTTGAAGATTTCTTGCAGGGCGCCTTCTGTGTCCTATCTATTTTTTGCTGATGATGCTTTGTTATTTTTCCGGGCTTCGCCATCGGCTTGTGATCAGATTCTCTCAATTACGAATGAATTTTGTTCCATCTCTGGTCAGATGATAAATGTGCAGAAATCATTTGTGAAATTTAGTTCTAATACTCCAGATGATTTCAGAGATTATTTGTCGTCGACCTTACGGATGGAAGCTAGATCGTCTTTAGGCTATTATCTTGGGCTTCCGGTTGACTTGGGGCGGAAAAAATGTCAGGATTTCCATTTTCTGTTGGATAAGGTGGCCCAACGCCTCTTGTATTATGCTTCGCTGAACCTTTCATCAGCGGAAAAGCTGGTTATTGTTAATTCGGTGCTGGTGGCTACTTTTAATCATATTTTATCTGTGTTTAAGGTTCCAAATACAGTTTGTGAGCGGTTGGGTTCTATGTTGATTCGGTTTTGGTGGAAATCAGGTAAAGATTCTAAGGGTTTGGCCTTAGCTTCTTCTGCGCTTCTGCATTCTCCTGAAGGGTTAGGGGGTTTAGGTATCCGTCATCTTCGTTCTTTCAATAAGGCCCTTTTGGCTAAAAAATCTTGGCGGCTTATGAGACAGCCACAGCTGTTAGCTTCTCGGGTTCTTAAGGCTAAGTATCCAAATTTATTTTCGCAGTCTCCTTCTCTCCCTAGGTCTTGACCTTCTTGGGGTAGTCGGGGGCTTCTTGAAGGAGGTATTGTTGTGTCAAAAGGCTTGGCTTGGAAGGTTGGTTCTGGGGAGAATATTAATATTCTGTCTGATAATTGGATTCCTAATGTCAAGATTGAGTTTAAAGAAGATATTCCTGATAATGATCGACCTCGTGTTGTTGCTGAGTTACTGTCAGTAGGGTCTCGAATTTGGAATAACTTCTTTGATTCACCAGCTATTTCCTCCTCTTGTTGCTTCTTTTATTATTAGTCTTGATATTCCCAGACAAAAGATTGATGATTTTGTATACTGGAAGTATACTAAGGATGGTATATTTTCTACTAAGACAGCCTACAATTATTTGGTGTCTCAACATTTTAATTTGGATCTTGTTCGAAGTTCTGCAATCTGTTGGAAACGGTTGTGGGGCACTCCTCTCCTTCCGAAATGGAAGATGTTTGCTTGGAAAGTTATGCATAACGCTCTTCCGGTGTCTGCGTTACTTGTTCGCAAGGGTCTTCCTGTAGATCCTATTTGTATTTTCTGCCGTGCTAATTCAGAGTCGATCATTCTTTTGTTTTGGGACTGTCCTCTGATGCAATGGCTTTGGGGGGAGGCCAATTTAACCCGTTTAGTTGCTCCTTTTGTGTCTGGTCCTTGGCCAAAGTGGTTCTCGGACTGTATCTCTGCCCTGATTGATGTAAGGGACTGGGATAATATGGATAGGGTGTTTGGTCTTCTGTGGGCTATTTGGCTTACTAGGAATAGTGTGCGTTTTTTATCTGAGGTTTTCTCTCCATATTCTATTCTTCAATTAGCTTTTTCTTGGTATGAAAGAGGTAAAGCGGCTCGCTTGTTTGGTGGTTCTTGTTTTGGAAGTCCTCCTGGTTTTCATAGTTCTCCTTTGCTTCGGGTGCTTAGGGGTAGCAGTGGGGATAGTTGTGAGTTGTCTATTTGTTTTGATGGTGCCTGGGATGCTGTTACTCATTGTGCAGGTGTTAGTTGGTGTGTGGTGGATTCTTCCGTTGCTCCTCTGGTGCATGGTGGGGCTCGTGCCTGTATGGCTAACTCGACTCTTCAAGCTGAGCTTATGGCCTGTTTTTTTGCTTTGAACATGCTATCCGTCTTGGTGTTTCTCGTGTCTTGCTGCTTACTGATTGCTCAAGAATTTCTCGTTTACTTTTAGGTCCTGGGATTGCAGATATAACTGTGGCTTGGGTTATTAAGGATATTCGGGCATTGTTGGATTCATTCGTAGTTTGTCATGTGTAAGGTGCCTAGGGCTGTTGTTTCTCAGGCTCATGATCTTGCAGGAGCGGCTCGTCAAGGGAGTTACTGTCTTTTGTTTTTTAATTTTTTTGGTTTGTTTCTTTGTTCTGTGTTCTCCTTGCCCAAAAAAAAATGAAATCGTTAACATATAATTTCTTCAAAAAAAAAAAAAAAAAAAATCATTAACATGTATAATATGCTCAAAATAAAATAACAACTACCTCCGTTAACATTTACTTGCAACTTTGGAACATTTTTTGTCTCTTAAATAATAAGCCAAAATTGCAAGTAAATGTAAACGAAGGTAGTATAAATGATTTTGCACTTATCTCAGTTGTCGAATATAATTTGAGACGGTTTGACATATGTTATAAGTGAAAATTACTAAATGAAATTCTGTTACATACATTATATTAGCTTAGATCAATTTGTAATTCCTTTGCTTTACCATTGGGAGGTTGTGAAATCAAAATTTAATACTCCGATAAGGTGAAAGCTAATGAAAGTGGGTGGCATAACGTGTTAGAGGTAATTTTCTTCGTTATTAGATTATAATGATTGTATAAATTCTCTGTACCAAAACAGCATAAGGTTAAAGCCTCAATTTACTCTACCATGTGCAATTTAAATACCAATAACCAGTTGAATGCTACCAATAAACAGCAACTGAAATTTGAGATTTTACTTTTACATCTACAATAACAGCATAAAGGATCTAGCTGTTTATATTCACCCACATGAGCAAAAGTAACCATCAGTTAGTCTCCCCGTACGGTTTCCCATTATTTCCGCTTGGGAGTGGCGGGATAGAACAAGGTGTATTAGCAAAACTTTGGTCTCACATTTGAGAATGATAGGCTACCACCAATCACTTCAACCTTTTCGACCTACAAATCTCTTGCTGAATTCACAGCCAGTCTTTCAAGGTGGTAAATTCATACAAGACCTGCCAAATAACCCAAAGAATGTCAGAGCAAAGAATGGCACCTTCAGAAAACATTTGGAGAAACTGTGGCAATATTGGTTATACTCTACTTTCGCACTTTACATTTGGTGAACCATTTTTTTTTTTTTTTTTTTTTTTTTTTTTGCATTGCACCAAAAAATCCGTGTGCTTTTATTTAGTAATTTCCAAGACCTTAAGATGTATTTTCTGTAACAATGATCAGTAAGTGTTTAAAAAGAAAAGAGAAAGCAAGTTTTTTCCCCCTAATTTCATTTACTTCCCTTATTCATCTCCTCTGCTCTCCTCCACCTTGTCACACCTGAAAACTCAGCTTTACTAGCTGAGTAGCCTTACCTGTGCCACCAACAGTAATCACCACCCCTTCCCCATGCCACCAGTAGACATTTCTCTTCCTCCAGACCGCCTAATATGAAGGGAAGAGGGAGAAATGGTAGTTGTAATGGCCCTAATGGGTGCCAATGACAAGGGGATAACCCAGTGAATAATGGCAAATCAAAGAGCAATGGGCGCCGATTGTTGTACAGTTCGTGTGTGGAAAAGGCTAAAGGGGAAAGGCTTGGCTTGGGATAAGGGAGAGATGAGGCAGCATGTGAGGAGCTAGATATTTAATGTGAGGAAATGGGAAAGGCAGTAGCGTTGAGGATTCCGGATAGCTAGAGAATTTATGTCAGGAAACGGGAAAGGTAGTAGCATTTAGGATTGCGGATAACTGAGATTGGGGTGGTGGCTGGGAAGTTGGTGGTAGGCCATGGCACAAGGCACACAATAGAGGTAGGGAATTCAGTAGCTGTGTTGCGGAAGGGGCTGTTGGGGCAGAGGAGGGAATGATTGCAAGAAAGGGTGCTAGCTGGTGGTGTGGGGAAGGGGGGTGGCGTTTGTTCAGTTGACTAGCGGCTGGCCAGGTAGGCTGTGGCATTGTAGCTTGGTGCTGTATGGGAGTGGGAAAAATATTAATAAAATAATCTTATATATAATATAAGTCTCAATTTTGCAGCACTTAACCACAACACTCCAAAACCCCAACTCTCAATTCTCATGCACTTGGTATCCAATCTTTGTTTTCTAGTACACCTCTCTACTGTCTCTCTCTTTTCAAAACTTCAGTTGCTATTGCACATAGTATTGACAGGTTGATGCAAGGTTTATTATATAGGGGAGGTTCAAAAGATTATATTGGAAGTTGGGAATTAGTATGTTGTCCAAAATCAGCGAGAGATTTAGGGCACGAAAGAGTGATTTCAACAAAGAAGTTGCTTTGATGGGAAAATAGCGGTGGAGGTTTCCTCTTGAACATCTTGAATACGCCCTCTTGAATGTCATGAATCCGACCCAATGGACATCATCCAGTATGATATCATCAAAAGCAGTGTAAAATTGGCGGTCCCCCAAGGTATTGTTCTTGTGACTCACTATTATCCATAGAAATTTATTTCGCAAGTTTCTATTCTACTAAAGCTGCTGGACAGGAAGATAATCTAGTTTTGGAAAGATTTTAGATAGGTGAGCAGCCTCTGCGTGGCCATTGTCCTCACCGATTCAACCTATCTTTTCTCCATATACCCCAGTGTCCACTTTCAAAAGTGACAATGCCTGGGACTTACAGTTGATGAGACCAGCCCATGCCCAAAAGACAGAAAAACTCAGTTCTATGTAAGACCTTTTGGTATTTATACAAAGGATGAGGAGAGTTCATGAGTGTGGACAGAACATTCTACTGTGGTGTTTCAAGTAAAGCTTTTTATTTAATTCTTTGATTTGTTCCCCTAGATATCCCGTTATGAGGAATCTTAGGTCAGACCTTTTGCAGTTTGCTTTTCAGGGTGCTGTGCAGGAAAGGAGAAGAAGTTGCTTTGGCAAAATGTGATTATGGCAATTTTGTTATGTGAGTGGTCATAGCGAAATGGTTATACTTTTAATGGTGTTACTGTTTCATGCGATCTATAGAAGTATAGAGGGATAAGGTAACTGTATTACTTTCTTAATGGGCTAAGGCAGTCTGGGGCTTTCCCAAATTACTCCATTGGGGACTTACAAAGGAATTGGGCTAACTTATAGTTCTGATTTTCAGTCTCTTTCCAAGGACACGTTGTCCTCTTGATGTACTTATTTTTTGAGCAGTTTAATAAATTTTTTCTTTTTTACAATAAAAATCAAATTTACATACACATGCTTAACAAACACCACAAATCAGCCATAACAGATATAAGACCAATATTACTCAACGTACCGGATAGAGATTTGGAATTAGCAGTTGACTTTTGTTGTAGAACCAAATCATCAGCAGAATAATAATCTGCAATCAGCCGGTACATATATGATGGATTATGCCCTCCGCTGCAACAAAGAAAATTTGATGTATGATATGTCTATGAGCAAGGTACCCAAAATAAAAACCTTTAAACTGATTAATGTAGCTACAGAACAGAACTCAAAACAATAAAAAGTACGACCCATTGACACCAATATATTTAGAACCTCGAGAGATGCTCTATTCAATTACATTAAGGGAAATTTTGTGTGTTACGCCTGTGAACCAAGGATTATTGAAGTCAGGCAAGTTGCCAGGATGCAGAACTAAAATAATTCACCAATAAAGTATTCCAAACCATGTGTTGAATCCAGTATTTTAATCATGACAGTTGAACAAACTAAATAACCAATTACCTCTCTTCCAAGCTGGCCTTTAAAATAACATGCATTTGGTTGAAGCATATATTAACCCCCTTCTCCTAAAATGCCATATTTTTGTATACAAAAATAAAGGTTAAAAAAAATGTCCCATGCTTGCCAAGATTTCAGGTGCAGGAAAAGACGTAGAGAGCGGATATGCTGGCAAGCTTCATTGTCTTCAGGATGATTTGGTTCTAATGGATCCATTAGCATTGATTAGGAAAGTAAGATCACGACCGAAGATGCACCAGTAAGGAAAATAGAGTTGGGATCATGAGAATCTCTAGTAGAAGGCTTGTATGGGGGTATTTAGGAAAGATATAAAGAAATAGGCTAACAAGAGCACATAATAACTGAAAGGCATGGAAGGAGAGGATCTTGGTTGACAACTACCAGAGATGAATTCTTGGTCCATTTAGCCAACTCTGTCATTGGGATTAAGGCATTGATGTTAATATTGTTGTTAATCTACATCTGGAGGTCTCTAAGGGATCAATTTAGGAAGACAAACCTTAAAGGTTGGGAGTATTCCCAGGTAATGAAAAAAAGTAGGACCATTATCAGAAGACGAAATAAACATGGGATTTAAATTTCCAAAATAAAATATAAAAAGAGCAGCTTACGTGTCAGTGATAAAGAGGCTAACGAGCTTTGGTGGCACATAGTCAAATGTTGGGTTGACAATATGAAGCAGCGGTTTGCCACTGCCACTTCCAAAATCCATACAATCAGAAAATTCTCCAAAATCTAGTAGATCAGATGGGGACTTCAGCTCATTGAGTAAGACTTCGGGGTTGTGAGGATACAAGGGACATAACTGTCATAAGTCAGACGTTCAGCACAATTAACTTGTAAGCTATATAGATTGCATTAAAAAATCATAAGAAATATAGGAAGTTCAAAGATATTATACAATAATCTCATCTACTAGCATGATGTAACTGGTCAAAAACTTGCAGTCGAATAGCGTAATACTTCACATAGACATTACCAGTGATAAACAAAGACAGCATCACTGAAGGGTAGCAGATCAAATAGCATATTTATTTATATATATACCAACCAACTAATCTGCAGCTAAACACATACATGTGGAGGATATATCAATAAACCTATTTCATGTTGATGCAACTTCAAAGTAGCTTACGTGTTACCAAGTCATATATTATACTTAGATATTAGATAGTTTACAGCAATAACGTTATAAGCATTTAGTCATGTAATTCATATTTAAAAGTGTACCTAGCATCTTTACGCTATGTTTGGATAATAAATTAGAAGGGAACTGGAAGGGAGGGAAATAGGAGGAAGGGGAAGGAAGGGAAAGTAGAGGAAATGATGAGCTCCATTTTCCCTCCAAATCTCTCCAATTTTGAAGGGATGGTCTTTATTAAAGGAGGAGAGAAAATGGATCCCTCCCCCCCCCCCCCTTCCCTCCCCTTCCCTCCCCCAACATATTATCCAAACAAGGAAGTTTGTCTCCCTCCCTTTCCCTTCCCTTCCTTTCCTTCCATTTTTTGTTATCCAAACATAGCATTAAAGTTATTGCTTATCACTGTACACCTTGTTCTTGTGTATAAAGCAAGCAGAATTGATCATGTAAAATAATTTCAATTTCCGTTAAGGTCTCCATAGGATAAAAGCCTTCTTTCCACAAATTCACAGGTAAACACAATGGTAGTCATCTTCAGAGTTCAACACTCAGGTACAGGTCAGCTTTTTCCATGAAGTCCTTGAACCTTTGGTGAAATGCTCATTCTCTGCAGCAGCCTAATGTTGATCCACAAAGATATTCAAGAAGTATCCTATAGTTGGCCGGTAAATAAAACAAATAGTATGCAATCATATCTATCAAAGGCCTCTTCACCCAGATTATTAAACTACTCCAGTTCAAACAAAAAATAAATAAATTCCAGCTCACTATATCATAAAAGGCATAAGCAACTTTCCCCATTTTAATGAGCAGACATTCAGCCAAGATACTGTAAGATTAACAAGGCATTCACCATAACGATGAGGTGGTTGAATGACTCAAACAAGAACAAGAAGATTTTGAAAAACCATGAGGTAATCTTTACATATCGTAGCCCGATTAAAAAAATTACAGCATTTTATCGCTCAGTGGAAAAGCAGATTAAGGCACATAGGCGGATAGGACTACTGTGGATGAAGATTCTTTTTAAAGCACCAAGCATTAAAAGAAGGGTAAAAGCCAGGAGCAATCACCTTGTGACTGCCTGCAACAACAACAAAAGGAACAGCATGTCTTTGAGCAGCAAGAGCAACCATATTCAAGCCAACAGGGGCTATCAGTCCACCATTAGCCATAACAGCATGAGCTCCAACTATGACCTTCAAACAATATTTCAATACATGGATATGACTAAATTCAATTGATAAGAAATTGACACACGAACGGAAGTGGACAAGCGTACCATGTTTACTCTTGATATCATGGCAAAAACAGCAGAGTCAGTAATCACAGTGGTCTGCAAACCTCTAGCCACCAATTCTTTGGCAAGAACATGCCCTTGGTACCTGGTTCCAATGTGACAGCAACATATCAGCAAAAAATTAATGAAAACATATACTAAACATAATGTCGGTTTAGATACATTTGGACTTCTGCGACTTTCCAATATGAAAGTAAATAACCCGCAAAAAATGTATACAACTGTGCAATTTCAAATCTTCAGCAGTCAGCAGTCAGCATTTAGCACTACCTTTTTACTACATATTTTTTTTTCATCTCTATTTTATGGAGTACCAAACTCATTAGATAATCCTCTAAAGCTCTAACATGCATACTTGTAGTCTAAGGAGAACTATTATTCTATCCCACTCACTTGAGAGTTAAAGAAGATGTAGACATGTAGTGATATCAACTCACCTTTTTGCAAAATCAGAAATGTAGAAAAGAAGGCCTAATGTAAGCAAACTTTCATAGATTATCTCAGAAAGAAAATTCAAAATATAGGTTTAATAGGTGCATCATTTTTACTTAAGATCTCATCTTCTGAAGAAGATCCTAGACAGATGTTATGCAAAGATTGTATATTTACTGGCTTTGCACCTAACTTAACAAAATGCAAGGAAAATGTTTGTACCTTGGAGCACCTTCCGCAACAAAGACCTTGAATGACCGTTTCTTTTCCTTTGCAGCACAGAGAAATTCCATCACAGTTCTTGACCGTCCTAAAGTCAAAATTACCTCACTGCAACAGTCATGGTTTAATGAGCAGATTGAACAAGCCACGTTAAAAGGAAATTATCACACAAACACACACGCGCCTACGTACACATAGTTGCATGTATAGTGACACCCTAATTCAAGAAAGCCTAGAATAAATCTTAGCAAACAGAAGATGTCAAATCACAACAAAAAAACATTTTTTTCCTTGTTCATGACTTCATGTATAATGGGCATCAATCATTACATCCTCAAGATCACCAGGCCAGAAAACATGAATTCAAAAAAAAGGTGAAAATTAGGCAAACATAGCAGTGCAACCAAACTAAATTCCATATGCCAGACAGCCAGACAGATTGTGAACAGGTACTTGATCTTAATTGATTAACTAATCAATTAAGCAGGTAAAAGATCATATAGACAAAAACAGTCCCTTCTAGATATGAACCTGCAAGGAACCAACACAAGAAGGTCCCACACTCATATCCAAAGCAATGAGGAAGATGAAGGGTAAAGAAGTCAGATGAGGACAAATAAGAATGATTAGAAGAAATGGTTACGACTTACAAGAGAAAGAAGAGACAGGCATCACGAGATTGTCATGTTATTTTTTATTTTTTTTTATTTTATTTTTTTTATTTTATTTATTTTTGTGGCAGTAAAGTAGTGAACAAGCCAAGTAGTATGATGTAATAAATAGCAGAAGAGAAGCATGGAATGAGGCATTGTGAAAATAGTTAGTGAGAGTCCTGTGGAAATAACAAAAATCATATCCCAAATTATTTTATAATTTTCTCTCTCTAAACTCTTAATTTCTGCAAATATTGATAGGCAGTAGCAGCGCTCGTGAAACTAAGAAAGAACACTCACTTATATCCAACATTTAGATAAGGTTAAAGCATATACTACAAGTAGAAAGGCAATTAAATTGGATGAAGATCAAAAGGAAAATCAACACCTTCCTATGGCAGCAAAACTGTTCAACAATGATTTCACATTTGTTATGCATATACAACAACATCAACAGCAACAACAAAGCCTTAGTCCCAAAATGATTTGGGGTCGGCTAACATGAATCGTCATAAGGAACCATCCAAAATAGGCAACAAATTACCCATGTTATAGAAGTAAAAACAAGAACATACTTTTGATGAATGTGCTCAACTGCTTGCTCAGCAATCTGCTCATGGCAAGTGTCTATATCCTGAATGAGCTCATTAACAGATTCAATGATATCATGCTTCAGTTTTCGAATCCTTAAACTCTTATCAGCAGCTGCAAAATGCAATCATAATTTAATCAGTAGAAAGAGGAAAAATGGTAAGCTCCAGATAATCTTACTATAGCACCCTTCTTCCTATCTTCATTAAAGCCCTTTCAAGGACTATCATTCTCCTTATCAGGGTACTGTATCAGCTTCTATTGGTAAACCCAGTAACCTAGAATTCTGAGTTATTTTATTTATTTAACTCTAATTAGAGTAAAGAAAATATATAATAATATCTCTTATTCAAAATGAGCAGTTGAGCAGACAATCACACACATTGGTGGCCCTCAAACAATTATATAAGCTGTTATACAAAGGAAATGTTGACAGCCAAAGGGCAAAGAGTGCAAATTATGGCATTTGACTTAAAAGACAACAAGGCAGAGAGCAAATTTGATGAAGTTAATGGAAGGCAGGTACATTGAGGCTGGACAAAATAAGGTTGGCTATGAGGTCCAGCAAAAGGGCTTACAAAATACATATAAAGCTTTCAAAATGCATCTAGAAGTGCTGGTAGGGATTGAAATATCCATTATATAGCAGTGACAAAACAGACTCATTTTTACATAAAGAAAACAATGCGCTACAGCAAGGTTCGCGTCAAGTGCACAAACTTACACTTGCTTTTTCCTTCAGAATCACCCCCAGATGAAGAAAGGGGAGCAGCAGAAGCATTGGGTACATCTTCAAGAAGAGTATGTAGTGATGGTGGGCGCAAAGTGCTCCTTGCTGCAGCAGCTACTACGGCTGCTGACAGAACAGGATGATCATCTCTGTCATCTTCATCATCATCACTTCCAACTGATATATTTAGGTCACCAATAGCAGCGGTAGTAAGAGATAAATCCTCCTCTCTAATAATATGTAGCACCCTCCTGACAATATTACCAACAGCAAGCTCTGCAGTTCAAATCAGATGGAAGGTCACTAAAAGCTCCGACAACGTACATTAAAGGCATCACCTCCATACACTGAGATACAAGAAGACGAGTGAGTCTCCCACTTATTTGTTCCATTCAGTCAGACAATAATAATTTGTTTAAGAAAATTATATTAAAAAAAAAAAATTAAGACAATCTTACAAAGGTGTTGGAGGACAAGAGACAAACTCGAGTACCTAACTTCTTTGCATTTTTAACAACAAAAAACTAGTCTTGTTTATGAATTGCATTAATAATTTAATACACTTCACAATTTTAACAAAGTACAGCAGAACAAAAAATTAAATGAACCTTTAAATACCTTTTTCTGATTCAGTGGCATGAAATATAAGCAGGAACTCTACTGCTGAGGATTCCTAAAAGATTTCTTTAATATGTTCAAGTAAGAAGTGAGCTCTTATGTGGTTGCCTTTGCCTCCTAATTTTTTAATAGACTCTACAAAATCTGTGAATCAATGTGCCTAGAACCTTTCAAGAATCTAAATTCTAAAATACTAGATACTACTCTCGTAACAACAAAGTACTGGAAGACATTGCATGGATGATCCAAATGATAGCCGATCCAACAAAAAACAAACTCGACTTTAGAAATGTAAACTAATCATATAACTCTTTAGAATTTTCATCAGATGTGAGGTGATGCCAGTATATCACTAAGAAATCCAATTAAGTATGTTAATCATGTCCATAAATTATAGCTTGCTTCATGCTGAGAAATTTACACTTTCTAATTCCTACAATAATTATACTCCTTAACAAATATTGCATTATAGTTTCATCTTATCCTTTTGTCAATGCGTCTTAAATTTTTTTTTTCCTTAAAAATAGTTATTATTTCTCATTTATTGTGAAGGAGATGGTTCAAAATAGGATAGTAAAAACATTTCATCAAGGATGACTGCTACGAACTAGGAGCAATTTGATTTTCTAGGGTATTGACAATTTTTATAAATATGAAGCACGAACAACTCTAGACCCTTATTTCACCACACTTCACGATTCCTCAGAGATTTCCATATTGATTTCCTTATATAACATTTCTTGTTGCCATGAGAAATGGTTTAAGAGACTTCTCTCTCTCTCTTTTCTTTTTCTCAACAAGTTGAGTTAAAATGCAACAACATTTTACACCTCAGCTAAAAAGAAAGGCATAACTTATAGTTTGATGTCAAACAACATTGTCAATTGCAATTTTTCGGATTAAAAATAACACATAATAGAGGCCTACCCACAGGGTTGGCAGCAATTAGCTGCTCTCCAACAGCCTTTACCGCATCAATGAGAGCTCCAGCTTGGTTTGTATAAGGAATTCTCTGCTGGGATATAACGGAGCGAAGAAACTCTGCAGTGTGCTTTGCTGTTGCTTGTGACCCCTCAATTTTACTAAAATACAAACAACAAAAAAATTCTTCGTAAAAAAAGCTAAAAACTTCTGTAAAATGTACACAAATCGAGTAACTTAGCATAGTCACCTCACCGTTTTCTGAGTTTGTTAACAAAGTCATTGACTAGAGCTTGTACGTCAGGCATTATTAATTCTCTCTATCCCAAATGTCAGACCTGAAACCATGGATGTCACTCATTAAGCTTTATCCAATTTTGCTAATCTTTAACAATAAAAAAAAACACATGATTCGTCTAACAATATACTCTATCCAATTTCACTAATCTTGAACTACAAAAAAAATAAAAAAAAAAAAAAAAAAAAAAAAAAAAAAAAAAAAAAACGACTCGTTTAACCATTAGAATTATTAATAAGAAGTACGCAACTAAACAACGATAATCACAATATGCAAAATCATCCACTAATTAACAGGCAAGTGCCTAAGCCAGGGTTTTAATACTTCCGTCCTAACATTTAAGGGTTCTGCAATGCATTAGCAATTATTTTCAATTAAACTATCAATCAAATTCTTCTTGGTTGAAAAATTGAATAGCAAAACTTTAGCATTTCAGTAATTAAATTATAACCAATAGTTCAATAATCAATTCGAACCCTAAATAGAATTCAATCAACGTTAACACTAGATTGGGAAACTGAGAATTGATGATTAAAAAAAAAAAGGCATCTTACGCTTCAATGGAGGAGAGAAAGCTACTTCAGCGGAGAATTCAGAGTTTAGCCGCTTCAATGGAGGAAAGAGACAAGGAGGATTATTTTTTTTGTTTTTTATATTTTGAGGATCTTCTTTTAATCACTTTGAGCAAGGTGTGCAAATTCGGAGATGGTGAACTGTTTGGAATTTATTATTAGCCCGCTATTATTTGGTCACTTATAAAATAAATAAAAAGTTTATTATTAGCCTGCTATTATTTGGTCACTTATAAAATAAACTAAAAAGAATAATCTCACCTTTGTTACTTCTGTTAAAAATAATTCAACCTTTGAATAAACTAAAAAATAATCTTACCTTTGCCCCCCATTTATTCAAAATAGTCCCTTAACCTGTTTGTTAATTTGCTAACCTATAAAAGAAGGTGAGTTGCTATGTTTCACCATTTTATAGATTCTTAATATTTTGTATAATTAAAAAAATAATTAGGATAAAAAAAACTTGCAGACCCTTCCCTTCATGTTCCCCTTCCCTCTTCCCGATCCCCCATCAGAACGGAGCAAGCCCACCCATGACTACCCCTGCCGCAACAGCCTCACCCCTCCTTTCCGACGCGCAAACAGCAAAAAGCATCATCCTTTCATTCTCAAGGCTTTTTCTTTCAGTATCAATCTTCAAATTTTCCAATTCTCTTTCCTTTTTGCTGCTGAATTTTATCCATTTGAAATTCTGTTTTCTAATTCTAATGCTAGAATGTGAAGTTTCAATCCTTGTTCTTCCAAGTTAACCAAATGTGATTTCATTCATTGCTTACCCATCATTTCTCCATTTGATTGTTGCAATATGCCTGTGAGGTGTTATGGGGAGAAGTTTCAGAGTTTGGAGAATGATTTGATGTTGTTGTTGCTGTAGTGGGGCAGGGATAAGGGTGGTGCCCGGCTGTAGAGAGGTGGATTGGCGGCAAGGCCGCGAGGGGAGGTGTAGTGAGTGATGGTGTTGTTGTTGTGTTGGTGCGTGAGTAAAGGATTTTGAGTTGGGAGGGGGGTTTGCCAGTCCGGGACTCCGGGTAGCGTGGGGTCAGGTGGTGGTTATGGTTTGGGGGTGGATATAAAGAGGTGGTGGTCATGGTAGGCTGCCATGGAATAAGGTGGGGAGGTGGGAGGAGAGAGATGGGTGGATATAAAAATACTAAATAAACAAGTTGTAGGATTGTTTTGAGCAGATAGGGGGCAAAGGTTGAATTATTTCTAGATTATTCAAAGGTGAAATTTTTTTAAGCAGAACTGACAAAGGTGGGATTATACTTTTCAATTTTTCCTAAAAAAACAAAAAAAAAAAAACCAAAGTAGCTCCTATAACATGGACCAAGCAATGACTATAATACTGACCGAGTAACCCCATAACATTGAGGAGTAACTCCTATAACACTAACGAAATAACCCCTTTAACACTGACCAACCATGGATCCAACATAAACTCCATTTTCTCCAAAACCTACCAAAATAGATATGAAGTATTGTAGACACCCATTTGTGTCTCCCCAAAACCAAACCCAGTGATGAGTGGCTTTCACGTCGGATCATAATCGAATGAAACGAAAGTGTGGAAAGGTCTAGTGTTGCGGAAAGTTTTATTTCTTTTCTTTTCTCTTCTCTCTCTTTTTGAAAACTTTATTTTAAGAAAACAGTCAATCCAGTTTGTTTGGTCCATGATATGGGTCCAATAGTGGTGTAGTTGGATGGGGCTTGCAAAGACCTTTCCAACGATATATTATAAGCCCAATTCCGATGAATATTGAGGAAGTTATGGCCAATTTACTAAACTGGGCCCGGTTTGAGTTTTAAGTACGGCCCAATGATCTAGGGGAGGGTCTAATATGATTTATCATTCCTAATGTAATAAGGAATGGTTTTGGTCTTCTAGAACATTCTAGAAGGTTTTATCATTCTTAATTCAATTAGGATTCTTTAGAGTTTTAATTAGATCAAATAGCATTTTCAACTGAAATTATATTATTTTATCTTCTAGTACGGGAATTTTATCAGATTTTCGAAAACGTGTTAAAAGCCGGTTTGGCGTCCAACCCCAGGCCTTGGCGCTTGGAACCAGGATTGGCGCCAGACGCCAGCCATTGGCGCCTGGCGCTAGCCACTGGTCCTGGCGCCAATGAGCCAGGGCTGGCGCCAATGTATTTCTGTGATCTTCAGACTTTGTTTTGATAAATTATCTTTTTTGGCTGATTTTCTTTATAAATATCGTATCAAAAACTCCGTTTTCATTCATCATCTACAATCAACGATCATCAACAATCACCAACATTCACCAATTCTCCTTATTCTTAAGTCTTCATCATTCACCAATTATCATTCATCCAATTCTCTTCACTCATCATCTTTCTTTCATCAATTCTCAATAACATTAATCTTTTAGCATTCTTTCTTTCTTTCTTTTTCATACAAAATTCCGCATTCACAAGATCTAGAAACACCTAGCCATATTTGAAGTTGCCTTCGCCCTAGACGTGAAAGGTTTTAATTTCTGGTTTGGTCCCAAATTTCTCTTTCAATTATTTAATTTAATTGTTTTGATTATTATTTTCCTTGAAGTTACTAATGTATGTATTTTGTAATTAAAAAGAGGTATGAGGCATCCAAGTAAGTATTTTTATTGATTGTATGATGTAGACATCATGTGTTGATTGTTATGATATTCCTAGTATCATGTCTAGGGTGTCTTTAATATCAAGTATGATTTAAAAGTATGATGCTTCCTATGTTCTTTCTAATACTTATGATTATTTATATGTTGCTTGATATATATCTTATATTGTTATTGCTTGATCACCTTTTATTGCAGGTTAAAGGGAATTGGTATTTGCAATCACGCTTAATAAGATAATTAATAATCTTGTTAGGTTAATATGATTATAATTCAAGTGACCGCCAATAATAGTTTATTTGTGCATTAAGTTCAACCAACATAGATTAAACAGGTTTAGGGTTAATCCTATTGATTGTATGTTAGTCAGAAAGCGCACATGAATACGATTAGAATAAAGTAGAGGCCTATTATTAGGGCAGGTTTAATCTCTTTTAGGTTGGATTTGTACCTTCATCCCCGAACCCTTATTTGGTTCATGACCTTATGGAGTTGGCGATCTCTTGGATCGTTAAGGGGTGTAACCTTCACCTCGTGAACGGTTTACAAGTTCCTTAAAAACTTGTTGGCGACTCTTTTGCTCTATCTTCTTTCCTTTTGGACGCCACCGTACTTTAGTGTATGATCACAGTGGGGTTCAAGCTAGTGGGATTTTAAAGGCTTGAAATTATTCCCTACAAGTATTATACTTCATCTATTAATATTCACACTAAATCGTGATTGCCATGCTAGTACTATGACGATAGTAGTGCTCTCACCTTAGATGCAACTGCTTTATTCAATGACTGTGATCAATCCCAATGGTCTTTGGGATGACCTTCTCTATAAGAAATGTCAAGCAACTATATCATTACAGCATAATCAACATCATTACATACACAAGTGGAACCAGCCATAACCATCAACAAACACCACATTTCCTGGTTAAAAATAATTTTTTCCTATGTGGAACAATATATTAGCTATCAAGAAAGGGTAAACTAGTAGTCTAGTATACCAACAAAACAGTGAAGACACAGTGAATACTGGTTTTTTCAGCCAATGAATTAAAGACGATCAAACATATATCCTATGGAACTTGGCTTCTTTGAGATTTATATGACATTTACAATTATTTTAAAATTAGAACATCCCATTAAGGAAGATGTTATATTTATATGTCATTTAAAATAATTTTGATATACGACTTAATTTCAAGGAAAGGTATAGCATGAATTTATGTAAAGAGAGTAAAGAGGTAGTTTGAAGTTTAAATTAGTGCATTAGTGTAGACACCCATTTGTATCTCCCCAAAACCAAACCCAGTGATGAGTACCTTTTGCGTCGAATCATAATCGAATGAATTGAAAGTGTGAAAAGTTCAGTGTTGCGGATAGTTTTAATTTCTTTTCTCTTCTCTCTATTTTTGAAAACTTATTTTAAGAAAATAGACAATCCAGTTTGGTTGGTCCATGATATGGATCCAATATTAGTGTAGTTGGATGGGGCTTGACAAGAGCTTTCCAACGATATATTATAATCCCAATTCCGATGAATATTGAGGAAGTTATGGCCAATTTACTGAACTGGGCCCGGTTTAAGCCTTATATGCGGCCCAATGATCTAGGGGAGGGCCTAATATAGATTTATCATTCCTAATGCAATTAGGAATGGTCTTAGTCTTCTAGATTCTTCTAGAAGGTTCTTTTCATTCCTAATTCAATTAGCATTGATAAATTGATTTTTGTTGAGTTTTTAGAGTTTTAATTAGAATCAAAGAACATTTTTTGAGGAAAATACAATTTTATCCTCCTGTACGGCAATTATTATCTGATTTTAAGAAAATCGTGGATTTCTGAGTCAGCGCCAAACGCCAGCTGTAGCGCCTGACGCTACGATTGGCGCCTGGCGCTAAGGTCAGCGTCTGGCGCCAACTCGGTTTTTTGCGTCAGAACTCTGTTTTTGATATTTTATCTTTTTGGATGATTTTCTTTATAAATAACGTCGTAAAAACTCTGTTTTGATTCATCAATTTTCATCAACATTCATCAATTCTCATCAATTTTCACCAATTCTCACCAACTCTCATCAAGATTCTCTTGATTACTCTCTCTCTCTCTTTTCTAAACTAGCCTTCTCTCAAATATAAAAATTCCGCATTCATTAGATTTAGAAACACCTAGCCATATTCGAAGTTGCCTTCGCCCTAGACGTGAAAGAAAGAGGTACGAGGCATCAAAGTAAGTACTTTAATGGTTTTATTGATGTTATGATATAGAGTTCATGCTTAGGTTGTTATTTTAATTCCTAGTATCATGTCTAGGGTAACTTTAATACTAAGTATGATTGTTATGATGCCTTCTATTTTCTTCCTAATATTTATTCATGTTAGTATCATGTTATGGTTAAAGCTTTGATTTTTATTGCTTAGTGACATGCTGGGGTTTGTTATTAATCTTGTTAGTATCATGCCTAGGATCTTGCTATTATTATTATGCTTTAACATGATTATTTTAATTATTATGATTGTTAACATGATTATGATTATTATTTATGATTTATTATTATGTTGCTTGATATATTTATTTTTATTGCTTGATCACACCTTTATGCATGTTTAAAGGGAATTTGTAATTGTAATCACGCTTAATAAGATAATTAATAATCTTGTTAGGGTTAATTATGATTATAATTTCAAGTGATCGCCAATAATAGATTTATTTGTGCATTAAATTCAACCAACATAGATAAACAGGTTTAGGGTTAATCCTATTGATTGCATGTTAGTCAGAAAGCGCACATGAATACGATCAGAATAAAGTAGAGGCCTATTATTAGGGCAGGTTCAATCTCTTTTAGGTTGGATTTGTACCTTCATCCCCGAACCCTATTTGGTTCAAGACCTTATGGAGTTGACGATCTCTTGGATCGTTAAGGGGTGTAACCTTCACCTCGTGAACGGTTTACAAGTTCC